ATGGCATCTGTCTCTGCCATTAGCTTCATGGCTGCTTCTTGCTGTTCCTGGATCATTCTTTCTTGTTCCCTTTTAATACATTCTTCCTCTTGCTTCATGGCTGCTTCTTGCTGTTCCTGGAACATTCTTTCTTGTTCCCTTTTAATACATTCTTCCTCTTGCTTCATGGCTGCTTCTTGCTGTTCCTGGAACATTCTTTCCTGTTCCCTTTTAATACATTCTTCCTCTTGCTTCCTGGCTGCTTCTTGCTGTTCCTGGATCATTCTTTCTTGTTCCCTTTTAATACATTCTTCCTCTTGCTTCCTGGCTGCTTCTTGCTGTTCCTGGAACATTCTTTCTTGTTCCATTCTAATACCTTCTTCATCTTGCTTCCTGGCTGCTTCTTGCTGTTCCTGGAACATTCTTTCTTGTTCCCTTTTAATACATTCTTCCTCTTGCTTCCTGGCTGCTTCTTGCTGTTCCTGGAACATTCTTTCTTGTTCCATTCTAATATGTTCTTCCTCTTGCTTCCTGGCTGCTTCTTGCTGTTCCTGGAACATTCTTTCTTGTTCCATTCTAATACCTTCTTCCTCTTGCTTTCTGGCTGCTTCTTGTTGGTCCTGAAACAATCTTAATTGCTCCTTCTCCTGCCTTCTAATTCCTTCTTGATGTTTCTGGAACAATCTCTGCCGTTCCAGTCGTGCATATTGCTGCTCTTGTCGTCTTAATGCCTCCGGCTTGATGGGTAACTTCCGACTATCGAGGAATGCCTTCGCTTCTCTCACCACATCAATATACGCATCTTGAACCTCAAAGAGATACCCATCACTATCGTCAATATCACCGTCGTCAGTGAGAAGCACATGACAATCCTCGTGTGCGTTAGCAAACTCGGAAAATACTCCCTTTAATATCCGAAGTCTTGCTTCCGTCTCTTCATAATCTTGCTCTGCTACCAGGCGCTTAATGGTGTTACCTTCCCAGGTGAGTTCCCTCTGTAACTTCTTGCACTCCGCCATGTTGTCAGATTCTTGACGTAGATTCGCCTCATGCAGTCTTAGCTCATAGACTTTTCTTGCTCATGTCCCCCCATGCACGCATACCATTACTCATGTAGTCCTGCTTCATGGAGTTTTACACATGCACTCTTGCTTTATGTATTTTTACTCATGCATTCTTGCTTTATGTATTTTTACTCATGTCCTCTTGCTTCATGTAACTTTTACTCATGTCCTCTTGCTTCATGAACTTTTACTCATGTCCGCTTGCTTCATGTAACTTTTACTCATGTACTCCTGATGCATACATTTTTTACTGTTACGTTCCGTGCGTGATAATCAAAACCCCAACTCGGCATCTTTTCCGTTATCTCCAAATTTATTACTCAGCACATGCGTTGAGCGCACGTGCAGGTAAAACTGTAAATACAAAATAATGCACACTAAATATTACGTCGCTCATGTCATGCAATGTTCACTATATTCAACGTTATATAACAAGATTCAAATTATTAAGAAATTAGACGAGAACCAAGAGAAAAACACTTACAATGTATGGTGCATCGTGGAAGAAATGCGCGAGCGCACGCGAACGTATAAATACGGCTCAAGCAGCAAAAGGGCCCGCGCCACGCACAACAACGCTTTTATACCGCGACAGGAAACCGCGAGTCACATGACTTAAAACATAATGGTAAAGCGGCCGAACCGCAGCCAAGCTGAATAGCTTAAATACGCGGCAAAACAGAACGAACAGTGCTAGAAATACGACAGTATATGTACCCACACTCAACAGAAATGATGAGAAGAAATAACAGTTATCGGTCCAACTCCTTTGATAGTGGTTAATTGGCAACCAGCCCCACTTACAGGAAGTCCCTGTGTGCATGGAAGAGATCTCAATTACACATGAGGTCACAACATACACCGCCCCCCGTTAGCAGCGCCCAGTATGCGTAGAGAGAAGATTGAATACGATTACCATGTAGCTATGGC